GATATAAAGTAAGAAACAGCATGACATACCTGCTTGGTTTTGCCAGCCAAAGCAATGATAGATCCTTCAGGTTGTTATAGTAGGTCAACTGTTCCCCTACCTTAATGTCTCATAGAGTGACAATCCCTATCTCCTCCATTTCTTTTGCAGCAGTGCAATTGCATTTGTTCAGCAGGAGCTACAAAAATGCCGTCTTCAATCTAAAATCAAACAGTTCAATACTGTACAGCAAAATAATACATATTTGCAAAACATAAACTTGTCTATTCTTCTCTGTCTGTACTTGTCCTCCCTCTTCCTCATTTCGTCCTTGCCTTAATCAGACGTATATTGTTTCTTACTATCCTACTGTAGATATTAGACGAGGAGTATGTCTGGCAATTGTGCTTTTTTATATTCCGATTGCGTAAGCTAATCTGCCAATATACCGATAATGATCAGCACTTGTGTTAAATATAAAACTATTCTTACAAAAGTAACTGATCTGCTCTGAACCATAACCAGACCAATGGTTATGGCATTCAGTACATCACAAATTTCAGTACATCACAAATTTGCATTACAAACTTCTATTGCAATTACTATTGCACAGAAGAACTCCATCCTCAATTATTGTATTGATTAAGATTTCTAGCAACTGCTGAATGCCCTGCAAATCGTCCAGGCATCAATTTTGCCTCCACCGTTTTTTTCTAGCAAATCAACTGAACAAAAGTAAGTGACAAGCTAATCACTGAATTGGATAACCACTTTCTTTGAAGTAGAGCCATTTCTCAACTTGTAGCTGCAACTGACACTCAAATAGTACTCATTAAAGTATTGTGTGCCATTGTAGTAGGCTGAATGTTGGCAAAAATATATCCCTCTAAAAGGCTCTGACCTTGTTTTCTCACTCTTAGTGACATTGAAGGATTGCAGAACATTTCAGTTCTTGCCTCTTAACACTAGAACTTGAACAACTGAATAATAGTACAAGAGCCAAACTGTATCCGTAACATATATAATAATGCAGAGCAAACCTTTTGAAAAGGTATCATATTTTATAATAGGTGGTATTACATTGTAATTAATTTTATAATATTGACAGTTTTCCTTGTACTCTTGTAACATATACCTAATAAAAAATTGTTTAAAGAATCAGGCCAGAAAAGCATACAACTCTCCAAAGTTCAATTGACATTGTAATCTCTGTGGTCCCATTCTTGAGAATTGTTTTGTGCTTGGATGAATTACGTCCCCTCTTTCAGCATACATGCTGTTATGAGTTATTTTCTGCTGGGCTGCTCGCAACGGAGTGGGTGCTCCTCCTCAATGGCAAGACAATCATGCCTGTCATAGGCAGAGGTATTGCCTGAATTTGGATCAACTTCATTATTATTAACGTGGCAAGACTAATAAGAGAGAAAACATAACAGTAATATTGGAACAACATTCCAAAGTAAAGAAATACTAACAATAATCTAATGACATATCCTGGGCACTTGTTTAATGCCATTTAGGAGATTGGGGGAACAAAAGGACCAATGATGGTGCAAATAAGTTATATGCCTATTACTCAGAAAACTAGAAGAAGGATGACAAGTCTTGCCCTGGTAGACCAATTGTGTTAGGAGGAAATGGCCATCCACTGAGCATGCAAACACAGCTTTTGTCATTGGTTTCAACCCTTGCTGATCCCTTAACCTCCAGTGTTCATATAAATACCAGAATATAATGCATGCCAATTGATAGTGGGTTCAAAAGGAATTTCTTCAAGTGGTACTACAGTTTTAATATCTAATAAAAATTGCACTTTCAATTCCTCAAAGTCTTTAATAAAAACGTAAGCTCTTTTGACACAGCGCATGCGCTAGAGAACACTTTTGGCCCATGCAGTGGCGGATCTGGGCCCGGGCCTAGACGGGCCATGGCCCGGGCATCAGAAGTCAGTAATGAGATTCATTAGATGCAATGTAAGCAATTCCCTGCCTCAAGTTTTGATAAAGCCAACCACAAGCCACACCAGAGTACCTACAAGTGCTTGAAGAGCATTCTGGCACTGCATAGATGAGGAAATTGTTGAAACCCATCATAAAAATGGCCAAAAGATGCATAACCATAAAATAACTGGTTGAAAAGTGGACACACCCACTTCCTGGCCCTACCATTAACTTGCACCCAGATCCGCCACTGGGCCCATGTTTTTGTAATTGAATTGAGACCACCATTACATGCTAGCATGCTATTTTCAGTATTCAGTACAATTCCTTTAGCACATCCCATTGCAGTGGCTGTATTGACAACAGCTGCCTTATGCAAAGTAATCTTTAATTGATTCTTGACTTACCAGTAGATGCTCTTTTTTCTGGTAGGCCCATTGACCTCAATTTTTACTTTATGACTATTATGACTTGATTCTTTTACCTTCTCTTTTAACCTTTGCCTCAGTTTTATTTCTTCTTCAACACTTCACTTAGTCACTTAATTGATTCTAATTAATGTGCCACCAAAATGGTAGTAAAATGGCAGATTTTGTAGGAAAGATGGGCTAAACAATTTTCTCTAGCCTTGGCATCATGTAACTAACCAGCTCTATAGAGGAATGTACCTTTACTCCAACAGCGATGATATCTGAATGGGCGTTGAAGGCATTGCCTGTATGCATCCTTCGAAACTTCCTTGATAAAATGTCTGACATCAGCAACAACACTAAACTCAGAAGCCCTTTTAGTATATATGAGAGAAAAGTAACGAATGAGTTACACTTCTTTAACCCTTATCAATGTTTCCAAATACCAGTAGCAACCCCAACATATCAATTTTTAATCATCTTTGAAAAAATATATGGCCCAAAATAGATTCGAATTGCCAACTGTGGCAAGAATAATAATGATCATAATAAGAAGGATCATCATTATGGTTGATCTGATGTGAGTGATGTTTTGTTTCTGGTTGCTTGTTTGCCACTTCTAATCCAGAAAGATTCAAGTTATTTTCCATTATTGATTGCTAAGAAATAAAATACCCTTTGCTCGGAGTATGAGTCACATGTTTCTTTTCTCGAGTCAAAGCAGTCAAGGTTTCATGAACTCTTATCCTTGTCGGCTGTTGCTAATATTTTATTTTACAAATATTATTTAAAAGAAGCTCTACTATTAATAATAGTTAAATGATAACTGATTAGTAACTTTATGGTTTGAACATAAGAGGCCATATGGATGGTAAAGCAATTTTGATTTATGTTTGTGATACTTTGGTCACTACAGCAGGTCCCAAATGTATTTGTCTTTAATGATTTTAATATTCTTGTTTCTATTTCCCAAATGTCCTTCCACTATGTCTCATGCCAATTTTTTGCAGGTTTTAGCCAATTGTCTTTGTTATGCAACATAGTGCTTAAAGCCACTATCCATCCAATTGCTACAGATGGTTTTATAGTCTCTAAAAGGTCTTCTAAATCAGAAAATGCCATTTGTTGCTCATCTTATTCTAAGGAAACAGGTGGATTGGCAAAAGGAAATGGAATTTTAAACAAATTTCATCATATATATATAGCAATTAGGAATGTAATGTTGATTATACAAGAGGATGTTTACCTTAATAATTGTTGTTCTCTCATGTCCTAACTAACATCATTAAATGCCACAAAATTGGCTCAAAATGACCATTGTCGATTTCAGTACAACTCTAGTTAGATCATTTTAGTATAATTTTAACCTTTTCTTATAGAAAATCATACGAAGTGTAAATTTTTTGCTGATGTAGCCAAGGTCTTTGATGTAATGTGCGGGGCTTCTCCTGCAATCAAATGTTACTACAGTGCTTATGGAACGGTGAGATGAGTCAGTAACTTCCCATCCTGTTGATACTTGGATGAGATGGAGATCTAAATTCCCCTTTTGTCTAACATTTATATTGATAGATATTGCTTTTCTTGTTCTGAGCATATTGTCTCTTTATAATAACATGAATTTAGTGATGCATCTGAAGATACATATGCAGTTTTTATTTAAGATCTATTTTGATTCTGGTCACATCCACCTATCAGTTGTAATATCCTTGTCTAGAGTGGCTCCCATAAGAGTCTGACCAGTCCACGATTGGAATTATGTGAGGCACAATTACTGGCACAATTATTGCATCATGTGAAAGATGTTTTTGACATGCACGGACTGGTAGTACAATAGTTATAAATTGGCTAAGGGATAGTTATCGCATATTTAAGACACAAGTGGGAGACCCGGTCCCGTCAATTGTCAATCACATTCCTTCAGCTTGCTAGGCAATAGGCATACATGTATATCAGAAACATTTGTGTATATAATCAGCATGCAATTTATATTGCTGTGTCTTATAATGGTTTACTTACAGGAAATAACACTATACAGATATGTGAAATAATCATATTAGTTACAGTAGATAGAGTTGCAAAAACAACTATTGTATAGGGTAGTACAAACAATCCACATTCTGTTATTTTAGCCTGTTTATTCATGCGTCAATGAATTATTTTCATGTGATCAGCAATAAATAGATCGTATGCTATCACTGTCACATGAACTCCCACTACTGTACCGTAACACTACAAGATGATTGACATCTCTCAATGGAGAGCAAGTATTGGACTGTGGAACAACTGTCAAGCTGCCTCCAGTAGACCAGCTAATGGCTGCCACTCTCACCCATTCAAAGCTGCAGTAAACGCAAAGTCAGGCAGTACTACATCCAATAAAAAGTCAATTAAACTGCCTGCAGCTCTGTTTCTTATTGCTTTCTTCCTTCTCTTTCACTGTCTCTCTTTATTAAGACACATCTTTATGATTCCTCCAATTGGTAAACAACATTTGCAACTTTGTACTTGTATATTGACTCAAATTTTATTATTAGGCAACTGCTACCAGCTGCAATGTACTACTGGTGTTACTGTTACTGATACAAATTATCTTTTGTCAGTAGTCTTACCTGGAGGCAGCAGTTCTAACCTAATTTACAATGATTTCTATTTGATTGTTTGTCTACGTATGCTTCTCCTTATATCAGGAGATGTTGAACTCAATCCTGGTCCTATAACAAGTAAACATGCACATAATACAGCAATTATTAACTAATACACCACTGCAGGTAATAATCCAAAAGATATCTTAAGGACTTGTTCTCTTAAACTCACTAATGCTATTACTACTAGCCTTTACAAAGTAACTGATGCACTGTATGCTGAAGGACTCATACCACTTGATACTAAAGAGAATGTTCAAACAGTAACAGGAATATCTGATTATAGGAAATCAAGTCAATTAGTGTCTGTGATACAACGACAGTTGGAATCTTCTCTTAATCCAGAGCAGTATCTTAGTGATATATGCCAGATATTAGTAAACCAAGGACATGGTACACTATCAGATATTGCTACCTCTGTATTACACCAGTTAGGTGAGTTTGTGTACGGTATCAGTCATCAATAGTCATTATATCTCAATGCATTAGGTCAATTTATGCCTGATAATATCAGTATACCATCACAAGAAAGTGAACCAGAATCACCTAGCTGTTTTGTTGCTGTCGGTAGTATAATGCCCAGATCATTATCACAGGCAGTTGTAGCATTTGAAACTGCAGAAGATGAAACACTAGATCCAATTGGCCTCAATAATGAATTTCATGTACAACTAGTTGTTGATGAGAAAACTAAGAATGATCCTAACAATTTACATAATCTTAAAGATCTCCTTGATGCAGTAAAAGCTGGTGGTAGTGAAGCAGTTGAGTTTCTTCTTCAACAAGAAACTATTAATATTGATTGTACTTTGGAAAAAGGCAAGACAGCACTAATGTTGGTTTGTGAAAGAGGGCATGAGGACATTGTACACAGTTTACTGTCTGCTGGAGCTAATGTTAACATTCAAGACAGTAATGGATGGACTGCACTAATGAGAGCAACTAAAAATGATCACATTTCAATTATTAAAGTGTTACTACAAGCTGGTGCTAACCCTCACCTGAAGATATCAGATGGATCAAATGCTTTAATGGTGGCTAGTTACTATGGTTACTATGAAGTTGTTGAGCTATTGATTAGTAAAGGAGTTGATTGTGGATATCAACGGGAAGATGGTCGGAATGCTTTTATGTTTGCTTGTGAAAAAGGTCACACTCCAATAGTTGAACTTTTGTTGAAGGAACAAGTTGATCCTAATGCTCAAAAAAATAATGGTGGGAATGCTTTTATGTTGGCTTGTGGTTATGGTCACTTTCAAATAGTGGAGCTGTTGCTGAAGGAAAAAATTGATCCTAATGCACAAAAGAAAGATGGAGGGACTGCTTTTATGTTGGCTTGTCAAAAAGGTCACACTCAAATAGTTGAATTGTTGCTGCAAAAACAAGTTGATGCTAATGTTCAAAGAAATAGTGGTGGGAATGCTTTTATGTTGGCTTGTGAATATGGACACACTGCAATAGTTAAACTTTTGCTTCAGAAACGAGTCGATCCTAATGTTCAAAACAAAAGGAGGTGTACAGCTTTAATGCTTGCCAGTGCTAATGGAAATTTTGAAGTAGTTAAGTTGTTATTAGAATGGCAGGCTGATCCAAATATTGAATCTATTGAAGGAAAGACGGCATTATCAGTAGCCAAGACTGGCGATATATCAGCATTGATTAGTAGTTACGTAAGAGAGCACAATAAAGAACAAGAGGATAATGCTTGTACACCAGCGAATCCAGGGCAGTTCCATAGAACCCCCCTCTAGCAGAAATTTTGGCTTTTTGCTGGACATAAATACACACTAATTGACATTTAATATTTTATGATAGTGATTAAGTGCGTCTCCTGTTAATTTTCCTTGATCTATGATTATTTGTGTTATCACGCCCTTTTTGTTGACTGTTAAGATGTACATTGTAACATATGTAAGTCTCAGTTGTGCACAACTCAATCATTTTTAATTACTAAAGGCATTTTAAAAAGATTGTTACTGATCAAATCAACTGCACGATTAGAATTTAATAGTCTTCTAATAATCTTGCTCCTAAAATTGAATAGGTCTTTGTTAAGGTTGCTATGGAGAATACATCGGTGTGAATAAATGTTTAAAAAACCAAGTGATAATACAGAAAGATCTACCAAGAAGAAGCAGTCGCCAGGTGGACTGAATTTGGAGATAAAACTTATAGAAAGATGGCTGGAGTTATTAATAAACTGTGAAGGCATTGTCCCTATAAAAATCTGTAGTGACATCAGCAGCAATTCGAGGGATCAATATAAAAATTAAGCAAACAGTGAGAGCAACCCTCTATTTAAGGCCATTAAATGAACAATAAGGGCATAGGTATTCTAGCCGTACATTGATAATCAATAGCTTCATTTCTTCCAGAAATATAATTGCCTTTACTTGAAATATCAAAAAGGCTTGGACTGCAATAGTAGCCTATAGATTTTTAAAAATATAACATGGTCATCTGTAACTATTCAATTTTTATTAACTGTAGCCTTTAATCTTTGATTTGCCAATGCAGTGCTGTCCTTGTCCTTGTTTAAAACAAGAAACTTGCCATTTAAAATGTACACCATTATGTACTCCTTGTAGTTTTTCCCCCAACACGTCTACTGACTGGTTGCAGTTCTTCTTTATAGTATTTGCAGTTGATACCTATGGTGACAACACACTTAATAATATTAACATGTGTAACCCTTGCCTAAGCTTTCCTCATACCTCAAATCAAAATAATGTATGTTTTTTCTCCAAAAGCTAAGAAATTAGTCTTTTCTTTGGGCCGTGTGACATATATAGCCAAACACATTATGTACAGTATAGTATAACATACAAACAGAAAAAGCATTCATGTTGTTGCCTTATGTTAGCCCACTTGTATCATAGAGCCTTTTCTGAAACCAAATAGATACAAGAAATAGATCTAACATTAAATTTACCTTAACTCTCTGCTCATTAATGTGAAGCACCATTAAATGCCCTAAGACATTTACGCTTTCTCAAAGCACCATACAGTTTAAAGCATACTTAATAGGATGGAATTTGGGACAGTGCTTCACTTAGCACTGACTATACTGGCTGGAATTCAGTAATGAAGACTGGCTGTGGTTAGGATTAGACAGCATCTAGTTTTACAATTTCTATACAATAGTGTCACTGCATCAAACATACAGAAAATGTACTGACATGCAGCAAAGCCTCAGCAAGGTCGGGAGTGTCACTACTCACTGGTTTACTTCAAAAAAACTCTTTCCAGGCAGCTTAGGCTTAGAGAGGTTGTTGCAACTCCAGTGATGACCAGGAGTACAGCTCCAGCATTCCTGCTCCTTCTACATGCAAGTGCAAGAAGAGCACAATCCGTACTTGTTGCATGCACAACATCGAGAGTCAGATATTTCTGACTCACTGGTTTACCTCAAAGAAACTCTTCCCAGGCGGCTTGGGCTTAGAGAGGATGTTGCATCTCCCATGACGACCAGGAGTACAGTTCCAGCATTCCTGCTCCTTCTGCGTGCAAGTCCAAGAAGAGCACACTCTGTACATGCTAAATGACATGTTCCACTTGTTAAATTGATAACATAATAGAACCAAGAGTACATATTATGTACTCTTGATAGAACTGACTACTTATATTAAAGCAATGTGTCAGGTCCTTTCATACTCTCTACCCAAATGACTGTAGGCTGGAGAATGGTCTTGTCTTGTGAGATTATACAATCTTTATTAATCATTTGTACCATGTGTTTTGAATGAAACTAATGAATAGATGGATGTGGTCATCAAGCAGGCATCTATGTGTAGTCTCTTAGTGATTTAATCTTCGTTGTGCCGATCACCCACCCAAACACAATTAGAGTGCAAGCTCGCCATGCAGTGACTTATTTTTTAGATATTTTGGTGGAGGATGTGAATTAAATTTCATTTGATGCAAAGAACATATTAATGCAATGCAGGTCCATTACCACCTTATGTTTAAGACCCTTCTCTGTAACTCCAGCCGATTTATCTACGAAGAGTGTAATATTGTGATACAACTATGTAAGTGTAAAGTAGTATATAGTTTAAAATTAGATATGTAGTCATTGCTCTTTCTCTATTGATTGCTTGGACTGTCCTATAGGAATCCCAATGCTGGAATTTTAAGGCACAGCTTCTCCCTCCCAGTGTAACCCTTTAACTGAACTAATCTTGCTTCTGTAAAAGGCTCTCTCGATGCTGGATTAGACTTTGTGTCAAAAATTTGTCTTGAATTTATTTAAACATGTATTCTTTTGGCACACATGCAGCTGATGAACAACGTTGTATTTTTAGTGTAATGTGTATTTTTTTAAAAGTATGTGTCACCTTTCAATGCAGGGTAGGAGATGTGCTGTAGCACAAGAGTTGGAATTTCATTTTGTATTTTAATTGGTTGTTAGAAATTCTTCTTGTCTATTACTTTTTTGATGAACAAGCACAAAGTAAATCCTTCATGTGTTGTTAAGGTTAACTTTGTGCTCTTACAATAATGATGTTTCTAGGCAGTTACTAATAGTTTGCTAAATTTTTTGGTTTAGCAAGGTACAAGGTATTTATAATGATAATAATTGTGCATTGGCTTCCACTTTCTTGGCCTTTTTGGTAACCTCCGCTAGCCCTTCCCATTCAGGCTCCTCTACCTCTATTGGCTCCACATGATTTATTTTGCATCTGGCCCGTCTAACAATCATATTTGCCTGGGACTGGCAGGAAATAAATCCAATGTCCCCCAGCCAGTTTGGTGTGGTTAGTGCTGGTTAAAGTGTTTTTTATACCACTAAAATGTAAATGCAACAATATATAACTCTCAATAATTTTGTTAGATCAAATGTACATATCTCACTAAATTGTAAAGACTACTCTATAACTGTCTCAGTCCTCTTTGTGGACTCACTTTTTGTAGACTAAATTAATATGCTTTATTGAAGGCTTTTTGCGTTTTTTTTTCAGCACGTACTGGGCCAATCCTGCCTACAGTGCTAGATAGAGAAAATGGCGTGAAAAGATCTTGGCATTAAAACTTTTAAAACACCACAGAGTAATTATTAACCTCTGGAAATGAACTTATTAATAGACAACCATGGTATTTGCACGTGTCATTATTATTCTTTATTCTTGTATTGCTTACAATTGTTGAAAGTTGAAACTAGTTCACTTAATAATGATTGTACTGTAAGAGAGTAAAGCAGTTGATAAGTATAGCCAGTTGACTAAACCAAATTCACAACTGTGCATGAAAAAGCTTAAGGGAACTCTGAATACTGTCTGTTACTTCATTGTAGTAATTGCATCAAAAGTCTTGCCATTGATCTCCCAAGTGCTCCATATAGCACTAATATATTGTATGGAGGAGGTTGTTCACTGTCATCATCCTTTTGGCATTGGCCACTTGGCTCAGCACATTTTTTTTATTATAGAGTGCCTAAATGAACAAGAGATTTGGCAAGAAAACTGCTACAAGAATCATAGTGATTGAGAAGGATAGCAAGACTAAGGGTGAGATTCATTCTAGAGCTAATTTCAGACTTCTAATATAGAACAGCTATAAATAGAGAAAATGCACTAATCATGCCAGAAAGTTCATTTAGGATGAAGAGTCTAAATATGAAAACAATGTGAATTTTTTGTAAACATCACTCATTCATCACTAACTTTTATAATTTTATTGAATCTTCATCTGTTCCACTCTTCACTATAGCCAAGTGGTTGGTCTTTGTTCCAGCATAGATTATATATACATGCTGGGATAGGAAACATTCCAACACTCCCATATAAATTCAATGAGAGTGACATCACACAAGTGAAACAATCTGAGTTATCACTGTCTGCAGTAATGGAGGACTTTTGCTGATGATGAAACAGGTGAGAACTTGCTTTTGCTGCTGAATAGAAACATTGATTTGATATCATGTGAAAGAGAAAACCATACTGCTCTTCTACTAGCACCAGAGGTCCAGATATGAAGTTATTACGGAAAGCTATGTAGCATAACTAAAGGCCTGTGTGCTTTTGATGAGGTTTTCCCACATTTATTGGAAGCCCGTTCTTGTTATTCCAGTTTGCTCACTTTCTTTCAATTCATCTTGTTATTCTGCATCGTTTTATATACAAAAATTGTTATTAAATGTCAAGTTTCTTGTTGTAAAAAGAATAAACTGTTCACTGGAGCACCATTTTGAAAACACATTCACTCACAACATGATCTTCTTTGGGAGGTTTTGTCCTTTCAGATGGATAGAGTATAACTAACTAGGTGGATGTATAATAACGAATAATCAAATGAGTCGTTGTAAAGTCACACTGTCTGCTGGTATTGATAAAGTTGTTTTAAATGCAAGACAGTCCTAATTTATCCTAAAATGGCCTGTGGAAGTGTGGAATGTATTTATATGATGTTTCATAAATAATTAACAATAGATGTTTTGTCATCATTATGACATATTTTTTTATTAGAGTCATAGTAATGAAGCATTCAATACTGAACAAGTAAAGTCTGGAAACTCTCTGTAATTTATTGTTTCAAAGCAAGAGACATTATTAACTGAATGCTGTTAGATTATAAAGGTAAGGAGTAGAAGTATGGAGGGGGTGGATTGAGAAAGATGTCATTATACTTAAAACAATTTGGAACTTAGTGGGCTGCATTTGTCTTAATACCATAGGATGCCTTTTTTTGAGGGCTGTAAATTTCGTGAATTTGCTTTAAAATCTATTTGCAGATTTAATTTTTGTGAATTTATGCTGCCTGCCATTTTTACCATAATAATTTGGTTTCACGAATCTTCAAAAAATCGTGAAATTTGTGAAATTTACAGCCCTCAAAAAAGGCGCCTTACAGTAGTTAAACAAAAAAGTGTTAATCTTAAAGTACTGTCTATGTATGTTGTGTTTTGTACAAATTTGCAAATGTTTTATGTTCCAGCTTTAACTAGAAAAATTTGATTGAAATAATTTATTTTATAATGATAATTACTGTTAGATTGTGAGGCTGAGTGAGCCTCAGGAAACTCTTGATATAGGTCTCCTAAAACTTTCAATTTTCGGCTTTTGTCTCAGATATTTAGTCCAGTTGTAGTTAGATTAGTCTCCCAATATTAATTTCTAGATTTAGCAATAATAATATAATATTAAGTACATTTTCTTTTATAGCTCCTAACACATATCAAGATGAAGTAAATTCTATTTGTAACAAGTTCACTAGTTTGAATTCTAATTTAGCAAGAAAGACAGTGTATATGCACACACGTAACATCATGTGCCTCTGATAACAGTGATTTACTTTATGTGGTTCAAGTAAGCTATTGTATCTGAATCCGAACATTAAGAGATAATTAAGGCATTAAAGTCTTTACTTTATAACTCTCCCTCTCTCTTAATTTCTTTCACCAACTCTCTCATCTCACCCTGATTTTTCATTTTTGTTGCTTTTGTTTAATTTAACACGAAATACACAATTTTCAAATTGAAAGCAACTATTGTCAGTCGCAAAAAGCTGCAATCACTGAGTGTGAGTAGTAGATCTATGTACATGTTTCAATTCAGAGTAGACTCAAGCTTTCAGTAATATTAATAATTTGATTTACCAGTATTCTAATAGCAAAATTAGAAATTACCATAATAGTATCCGTAATCATACATGTAACTCTACAGTACATTTCTTTAAACTATTTTGTAAATGAATGCAGTGAACCACATCAAACCAAACAGGCAAGACAATAATGATAAGGAGATATGATGTATTGTCTTCTTGATGCATTACCAGGCTTACAGTTCAACTCAATTTTCTCCCAGTAACCCCTCACCATTCATTCTAATTTAAAATCATAGTTCCCTTCATTGATGACTTTAGTTTGTTCCTTAGTAACACTAGGATGTCATATTAATGAAAAAAAGACATAATCATAGGAGTTTACCTGCCAGAAGTTCCGTATTTGTTGATGATCCTCAATGGTTCAAAGCTAGTTTTCATCTGTTGTCTACTGAAGATTCTGTACAACAGGAATACTGAAATATGCCAAGAGCAATCCCAAGCTAATAGATACAACTTTCTAATATAACCTTTTGGAGGGCAATATTGATAATAGTAATGTACACAGCAGTTTGTATGTCATAAAAAGTTTGCAATGATATGCATTGATGTACATGTCAAATGTAAACTTGAGCATCTCAACTGTATCCTTTCTTACTTGGAATGCATGTACAATTCCATTGATTGCTTGCACAAAATGGCTGAGGTACCAATCTAGATTTTTGTAGAAACTTGTTTTATCATGTTTAAAATGATTAAAGTGAATATAAGTAACAAATGTAAAGCTTTATTGTAATTTGCAATGCATTTCAGTATTTTAGTGCTATTGTTAAATAGCACTAAAATGAGCTGACCACTCTGACCCTTCCATTGCTATGGGGGACCTTTACCAGTGAAATAAACAAGATAACCAACATTCATTCTGACCTCATTTTTCTTATATCAACATGTTTGACACGCAACAATGAACAATAGTTTGACTTTTGACCCCTGAAGTCACTCATTGCTAGTATACAAAAATTGCGAAATTAAAACTGCTAATTACAACTTTACAGCAAAAATGTCAAAAGAAAGTGATGTAAGGTATTATATAGTACATGTGTAGTCTTGCATAACCAGATTCCTCCCCTTTTTGACCTTAGGGTGGCACCCCTAAGTCAAAAAGGGGAGGAGTCTGGCTACGTGAGACTAGTACATGTGTAGCTGGATAGTCTTGAGGAATTCACAGTATATCTTTATTACTGCATTAACATTAATAAATAATGATCGTATACTCAGTTACTATATTGTTGTACTAGAAGAACATAATAACATTAAGGAGATCCACCCACTTGCCACACCCTGACGCACATGTACATGTACACAAATTTAATTTGCCATAAATAGATTAATAATAATCAATTAAGATATAATTTAAAAAATTCACCTAAAAATTGTCTTCATAATTTTGGTGATATGGTAGGATAGGTGTCAATTATTAATGAGAAGGCGGAGTCACAATCAGGTGTGACTGCTGTGAAAGAGGGAGGTGCATGTGAAGTCACTGGACAATAGATAGTATCTTTTCGTAGTTGATCGTATATCTTTTCAATCATATCATGAATAATGAGTGGAAACTGATCTGTATAATAATAGAGGAGAGAGAGAGATTGAAAAATACCATCTACATGTAAATGACATGAAAAATTGTACATGTACATGTATAACAAATCCCAATATTGTATTATAATATACATGCACATAATCACATGTTGAAGCTCAAAAGGTTTAAAAGGTGAACTGACCTCGTTTTTTGGTCCCGAAATGCCATTTACTGTAGTTTCAACAATACAGTACTTGTAGATGTACTGGTTTATTCAAGTAATGGAGCAGTTTTTATTACAAAATTCTATTTTTTATGGTCATTATAAATTAAAATTAAACTAACTTTTAATGTGAATGTAGAGTATTTGACCAAAATGAAACAACTGAGTTGAAGTGGAGGGACATGACTAGGAGAGGGAGAGGTACATACATTATGTTGATAATGGATCGATAATCTATTCATGCTATATATTTTAGTATAAGATCAATACACTAGTGTACACTACACACATGAAGTACAAGGGGTAGTATTGACTCAACCTGTTTATTAAAACAAGCAAGGGGAGAGAGAGAGTTATGTGTATTCCATTGTACATGTAAATGTATCAATACTATCATTTGCATTAGTTATTAATCTACATGTAATTATGCTGTTTGGTATAAGATCAATTATAGTCACTAGTGTCACTACATACAGTATAGCTAGTATTTTATGTGGATCAAATATCCACAAAATTAGCAGAAATTTCTATCTATATGGTAGTACAAGGAGTAGTGCTGACTCAACCTGTTTACTAAACCAGTTTATACAAGGAGATGTGTCACTGATTAACAAGCACCAGCAAGCAATGTACATTTACTATGCATGCAGGTTTCCTACAGGCATGTACATATGTAGCTTCTTTGGAATTTTAAAGTTGTTCAAAAATCAGATCAACGTCACTGTATTTAATTTATTGCAACAGTGAAATGGGAGGGTGGGATGTCTCAGCCTGCTCCACACCCTCCATACAAGGCTCACCTTTAATAGCATCCATGGAGCTCATGCTATTGTGGGGCATCCATTTGTGATATCATTGTTTACTTTTGAAACTTGAAGAACAATCGATGGAATCACTCAATTGCCATCTTGTCTGGCCAGGTGAGTTGATTGCGCAATAATTCTATGCATGAGCATTGGAATAACCCGCAAAATTCTGTATTTGCAAAAAATAATTTTTGCTCTTCTTTGTTTCATGTAATGATCTTCAGCTATTTGAACAATTACTAACTTCATTCTTTCTCACATAATACTTGTAACGTTCAACCAGTAGCACAGCTGTGAACATGAGTAAACAAAACAACTATGATCTACAATCTATTGAGTGACCTTTAGGCTTTTAAGTTATTTTTAGGCAGTGATTTTGTATATAAAGGCCCAAACTGCATCTTATTATAAGTTGTTCTATAATGGAAGTTCATCAGAACGTACATACTACGAACAAATCACCAAATAAGCATCAAGATGAGCATGTGTATTCTGAACCTCAACAGTTTCCTACTAATTCAAATAGAATGGCAATGAAAAAGTGGAACACATCAGCATGGAGCGTACTATTCATTATCACCATAGTGTTACTGTGCTTAATGTTGCTACTCCTTGTGGTAGTTATAGTTATCATTATGTCAGCAGGAACGTGTAGCAGCAATAATTTATCCAGCTCGACTGATTTGGCCAACAAGGTATCACAGAGCACCTTCCAGCTTTTCCAAACCAACTTCACTGAGGTTAACAAAAAAATTTTTAAACTGACAAAAGAGTCTGCACGCAATCATGTAACAATTGCCAACACTCTTTCTAATATGCAAGACACCAGTACTTTTACTGCAGCAGTGATTGATAATATATTACTATTGGTACAAGAATTGCTGGTCATACACAATGATTCTTCTTCTTTACCTACTTCTTGTAAAGAGATTCGAAAGAGACAACCAAGCAGTCCATCTGGTGTATACTTGCTTGCAAAAGCAGTAGGGTCTCCATCTACTTATTTTGCTTATTGCCACATGGAAGAATTATGCAACTCAGAAGGAGGATGGACAAGAGTAGCATATCTGGATATGTCTGATGCCACACAGAACTGTCCTTCTGGACTTAGACTGTACCAGTCAGGAGGAATTAGAGTTTGTGGTAGACCATCAACAAGCAGTGGTAGCTGTGGTTCAGTCCAGTTTCCATCTAATGGTATCAGCTATTCTCAGATATGTGGTAGAGTAACAGGATATCAGTTTGATCGCATAGACGCTGTTCATACTCCATCAGAATGGTTTCGTAATGACCTTAATTCTTATTATGTTGAAGGAGTAAGCATTACACGTGGAGTGCCCCGTCAACATGTCTGGACACTTATGGCTGGTTATACTGAAACTAATGCTAATCTAAATGATTGCCCATGTAATAATGGCAGTAAAGTAGTTGTAAAGTCTTTTATTGGTGAAAATTACTTTTGCGAGTCAGGCAACACTGCATCCACACCATCTCATATTCTATACACATCTGATCCTCTTCGGGATGGTCAAGGCTGTGATAATCTTGAAACATCTTGCTGTGATGCTACTGGCATCCCATGGTTTCACAGAGACTACAAGAGCAATACTACTACTGATTTTATTGAGTTGAGGGTGTGTGCTGATTATGCTACAAGTGATGAAGACAGTCCTTTAAGCCATTATGAGATTTATGTAAAATAATAAATGCATATTTATAGAGTTGTTATTAGTTTAGTTAGTAGGTAGTGAATTGATTTAGGTACTTAGCCACTTTAATTTGTTACTCTTAGTTTTAATCCTTTTTCACATTTCAAATTGTAAGTTTTTAGTTTTAAGGAAAAATACAAGTAGAAAACCAGGTTTGACCTTACATGAATCTGAAACATTCAAGAAGCAAGCTCTATGCTATAGCAACCATTATGATAGTACTAAACTATAGCTAGCAAAGTAGTGTTTTATCCATGGCATAAATTAGGCACTTGACATAAGTATAATCAACAATAAAAAAACCAGAAGCATGATAACACATACCATGTAGCTAGAATCTTTTGTGGCCCAAAAGTTTGTGAATTTAGTGAATCAGAAACCAGCTCAATTGTGTCCACTGTGGCTAAATCACTTTATAATGCATGCATAATAAAGCTGCTTCAGTACTTTGATCTAAACCTTATAAACCACCAACCTGAGGTTGTTTAGATAAGTTGGTTTCAAACCACATTGAAATTGTCCACAGGTAAGCTGGTTTTTTTCTAAACTGGTTTCAAACTGCTTCAAGGGCATAGTGTAAAAGGGGTGTATAATCATGGTGAAAATATTTATATTCATTGCATT